TGTTATTTCATATTAAAAATGTATTATATTCATTTTAAGCTTATTTATATAGTTTAAAAATAACCCTCAGGAGTAAAAGCAGTAGGTAATGGAGGAGCTATTATAGTGTGATTTACTAGCAATTACATTTGAATACTCAGGGTACTAAGCAGGAAAATATCACTTAAAATCTAGGAAGAAGTCTTGACACAAATTACAATTGACAATATACTGTCTTAAACATTTCTTTTTTTTTTTTTTCTGTTTTGTCTTTTTTCGTGACCGGCAACGGATCGCAACCCTCAGTGTTGCGCCCGTACTGGACCGGGACCGGCAACGGGATCGCAACCCTTGGTGTTGCGCCCACACCTCGCTCAGCCAGTGAGCGGGAACCGGTCTGTATGTGGGATCCGAACCCTCGGCGGGAGCGCCGCCACACTCCCAAGCGGCGCACTGTAGCAGTGCGCCATCGGGCCGGCCCCTTAAACATTTCTTGATTCTAGTTATATACAATTTCTCAGATCACTTATTTATGCTACGTTATATGCATGGGTGGTCAAGTTCATGAAGAAAGAATTGTAATATTATTTGCTTTAGTTTCAATGTGAAGTGTTTTTTTTTTTTTCCTCCTGCCCTTTAACTGCACTTCATGAAGGCACTAATTATTCTGTTCTCACAGAATTCATTAGACCTCATTTTGGTTTGGTTTATGCTTTTCAAGTGAGTCTAAACTTTCCCATAACTTCATAAAATATGTACATACTCACCATATATATATAACAAGTAAATGTATGTTTTTCTAGTAATATTGGTTTTTTCTAATCCTATAATTCTTTTTTTTTTTTTCCCTTTTTGTCTTTTTTACTGACCGGTAACGGGATCGCAACCCTCAGTGTCACGCCCGTACCGGGACCGGCAATGGGATCGCAACCCTCGGTGTTGCGCCCGCACCGCACTCAGCCAGTGAGCAGGAACTGGTCTCCACATGGGATCCGAACCCTCGGCGGGATACAGACTGGCCACTCACAATACTTCTGATTGACCCAGAACATATTTTACAACTTCCTTGACTAAAATTGCTAGAAGCAGCCTGCAAAAAAAGTGCTTTAATAGAGGAAATTAACTTTTTAAAATATGGCTGACTTAACTACGGTATCAGTGCTATTAGTTTACCTTCTTTTTTTTTTTTTAAAGATGACCGGTAAGGGGATCTTAAACCTTGACTTGGTGTTGTCAGCACCACGCTCACCA